CTTCTTTTTGAGGAAGTAGAGGTGAGCGTACCTGGAGTAATCGTCGATGAAAGTGATATAGTAACTGAAACCGCCCAGAGAAGGAGTCGAGAACTTGCCGCTCAGATCTGAGTGTATTAGTTCCAGTGGTTGTTTGGATTGTGGTTCGGTGAGGGGAGCGAGGTGAGACTTGGTTGATTTAGCGAGTTCACATGTATTGCATGTTTCCATGTGACCATATGTGGGGAGAGACTTGGGGTCGGCGACCATGGTGCGAAGCCGTGAGAGCGAGGAAGCGGGGAGATGTCCGAGCCGTTGGTGCCAGTCATAGAAGCTGGTGGCGGCAGAGAGGTGTGCGCAGGGTTCCTTGGTTTCAAAAATATAGAGACCAGTACTATTTGCGTTGGCGATCCCGATGATTTCCTTGCTATTCGGTTTGTAGATGGTAAAGCCGTCTTCCGTCCCAATTGTTGTGAATCCCTTTTTAGCGATGCAAGACCAAGACATCAGGTTGGTGTTGCCTAATTCGGGGATCAAGAATACATTCTGCAGAGTGATCAGGCCATGTGATCCGTTGATGGTGACGTTGCCAATTCCGGTTATCTGGAGTTTGCGACCTCCTCCAACAGTAACTGTTCCAGTATGGGGAGTGGGGTCGGTAACCAGCGTTCCGGTCATGTGGTTGGTTGCACCAGGGTCGAAGATCCATGCCTTGTTATCGGTGGTGGAAGGTCCTGCAATGAAGCCAAAGTAGTCTTCCATGGTAATATCCGAGGTGTCATCTGAGAAGTTGGTGAGGTCGAAGTCAACCGGCATTGTGAATACATCGGTTTCTTCGAGTGCGGGAAGGCCAGAAAGATCGGGGATCCAAGAGAGGTCGAGTTTTGTGTGAAATGTAGTACCAGATGCGACGTTAAGGTTGCCAGATGCAGCGGACTTCTCCTTGTCTCTGAAAGCTTTGAGTTTCCGGCAATTTTTGTGCGTGTGGCCTTTTGCATATTCTCCATTCTTGGTGCACCAGGTGCATGTGACGTCCCGATTTCCTGTTTCGTTGTTACGTGGCCTCCTGACTCTGTTGTTGTTTCCGTGTCCTGGGTTTCCTCGCCTGATTGTGTAGGCTTCTCCAGCCGCCTGTCCATCGTTGTTGCGCCGTGAGTCCAGATCCAACAGCTTTTCGTAGACGTCATCGAAGGTGACGTTGGGCTTGGTTTGCAGGTTGTCAACGACTGATTCGAGGGATTCGTGCCGGAGTGAGAGGAGTAGGAAGTATGCCTTCGCTTCTGAGACAGATGCGAGTTGGTGAAGGTGGTAACCGAGTGGGTCTTTGGTTTTGTCCGTAGAGTTACTAGTTCTAGTGAGGAGAGATGACCAAAGAGTGTTGAACTGGGTTAGGTGTTCCTTGATACCCTTGTCGGGAGTGTACTGTAGTGTGACGACATTGGCGAGGAGCGAGTGGAGGGAGGCGACGGTTTTCCGATCGAATCTGTCCTCGAGTTGAGTCCAGAAGTGATGAGCAGTGTCGGCCGGTGTCAGTGTGAGAATAACTTCGAATTCGATGTTAGATTGAAGGAATACAACTGCAAGGTTGTCCTTTTTGTCCCAGTCGCTGATTTCTTCGGCATTGTCGGAGGTTTCTTCTTCGTCTTCTTCAGCCTCAGCTACACTTCCTGATGCTTGTGGTGCCGTGGTAGGTACAGTAGTGGTGGTGGTTGTCAACACGGGACGCTTGCTCGAACCATTGACCAAGTTCCACAGATCGTGAACTTTCAACATGCGGGTAGCAAGGTCCCTCCATACAGTGTAATGCCCTTGACCATCCAGCTTGCATGGGAGTGCGGGAATTTTGATGCTCCTCTCAGACATGATTGAAAGTGAAACAAAAAAGTGTACTTTGTGGTAAAAATGGTGAAGAGTGTATAAGCGTGAGTGGTCTCCGGGCTCATAACCTAGAGAAAGTATGTAGGAGAAGTAAAGTAATTGATCGTGTTATTGTGCTAGCTAAGGGGGAATGCCCCGTATTTATACTAATGAAAGGTAGTACAAAAGAGATACAATGAGTCATGGACGTATGAGTAATAGAATGACTAATAGGAAAGTGAGTCATGCGCCGATGACAAATACTATAATGAAATGATGAGAATCTTCCAGAACTATGAAACGTGCCGAGCGCCCTATTTCAAGATAAATTGGCACCAGCTAAGCAATTTATTACAGGACATAGGAGAGGAGAACAAAGGAGAGCAGAGAGAGGATAATTTAGGTGTTGTGGACGCGACGCTTGTAGCTGGCTTCTTGGGCCTGGCATGGGTATGGGTGGCCTAGGTCGAGCTTGATGAGAGGGAGGTGAGGTCGGAGTCTGAGGAGAGGTCATAAGGTGGCGACATGGGTGGGCCCATTTGTGGGGGGTACCCGGTTCTGGTGGCCCTTATATAGGAGGAGAGGGCTGATAGTGAGGTGGGAGGTGACCAAAGGTCGTCGAGAGATTTTGCAAAGGGTATTTGGGTTGCCCTCTGGGGACTGTGCTCAGGGCAGCGTAGGACGGCGTGTTCGAGGTCTTCGTCTTCGAGCAGACATCTGGAGCATGTTGGGTGGAGGTCCTGGGTCATACATGTTGGGTGGGCCGCTAGGTAGCTTTTGTGGACGCGCATTTGGCATATACATCCTGCGATGAAGCGATCGAGCTTGAGGTGGGGGTGTGGGCGTGTGTTGATGGGGAATTTGTAGTAGTCTGAGAGGGGGTTATTCCTCCAGATTTGCAGGGTGTCTCTTTTAATAGAGAGCGCCAGGCTTGGGTGGATGGTGTTAGGGTTCTGGGAGAAGGTGGGGGAGTTGGTGAGCAGTGTGTAGCAGAGGTCGTCTATGGCGTGGCGGGCGACCCCTTTCCTGCTTGAGTTCCAGTTGACGGGGGGGTTTGGACGGCCTCTTAGTAAGTGTCGGTGAGAGGTCTCTCTGTAGGTGGAGAGGGTGTGGAAGGAGTCTGGAGCGCGCGCGGTGACTGGATTGAATGCGGGAGACGCGGCTTGGATTCTCGTGGTGTATCTGATGCGTAGGGAGGGGATGTAGAGGGTGAGCGGTGGGAAGGAAGTTTCGGCTTGTAGTATGGAGAGGGGGGTTGATCTGAAGCAGTTGGTGACCCACCTGAGGACTGAGTGCCAGGTGGTTTTGAGCCTCTTAAGTGCTCGTGCTGTGGGGATGAGGACGGAGGCGCCGTATGTGAGAATGTGGAGGATTGCCATGACTGCTAGTCGTCGGCAATTGAGGGGGGTGAGGCCTTTGCCGGCTGAGGCGAATCCTCTGATGATGGCGAAGGAGGCTTATGCTGAGGAAAATCTTTTGGAGAAGTAGTTGAAGGTGTTGAGGTTGTCGGTGAGCTGCAGGCTCAGCCAGCGGATTTCTCTTTTAGGGTTGAGGGGGGTCCGGTTGAGTGTAATGGGGAGCGAGGAAGTTATGCTTCTATCAGCGCTGGTGCGGCAGTGGATGAGGTCTGTTTTGGGGAGGGAGAAGTGAATGTTGCGTGGGGTGCCTGCATCTGTTGCTTTGAAGAAGGCGTTTTCTAGCAGGGCGATGTTCTGTTGGTGGGATGGGGAGGCGACTGTGAAGGCAAAGTCGTCAACATATGAGATGGTGATGCCGAGAACTGGGTGTATGTGTAGTGGTGCTACATATATGCAGAATAGTAGAGGATGCAGAATAGTAGAGGGGTGTCCCCAACCACAGGGTGATCTTTTATTAAGATATCTATCAGCCGCACCTTCATACTTTTTTGGTTCGAGTTGTGGGCGCACCATATGCAATAATAGCCCGGTTCAAAATGTCAGGGCCTTGTTTACATGTGCTAGTATGGTGGCGGACACGACAACGGGGTCGGTCTTGGCAGGAGTGACAAAGTTCCAGGCGCTGATCAGTACCCTTTAGGGAAGTGTTTAAGCCTAATAAGGATAGAGCAAGTGCTGACTCGTGAGGGTTTCAATTCGGCCTTAACAAATTTGTATGGGTAACAAACTTTGTCCTGCCTAACAAAATTGAAATCCTTTTTTCTCAACAACAACACAACCTAATTTAATTTGCAGACCGTACTTTGATTCTCCTACTGATTCTCTACAGAAGTACAGTGGCTGAATTCAAAAATCATTGATTTGTGGTGAAGAGATAGATTTGGCGTTCTTCTGCTTTTACCGACCCCGTTGTCGTGTCCGCCACCATAAGCGCATTTGTGAGCACCAATGGGCGTGGAAAGCCAACCGCCTCCATACTCCATCTCAAATCTACATGTCCTATTTGGTCGCCGGGTGCGGGAACTCTGCGAGTCAAAGTGCAGCAATAGATAGTATAGTACCGAGGAAGCTTACGGATACCAAGACGCCTAGGCACGGACCCATAATCATTATGATCATACCAACTGCCTCTAATTCTAGACCATCATAAATACCTCCGAGTCATGCTAATATGCACCAGTTCGCGAGCTTAATTACGAAAATCAGAGAAGGTCCCTAGCTCTTCCTGCGCATGTCAACAGCTATGAGCACCGCCCCCCTCCCCATGCTGCCACTGCCCAATGAGGACTTGATAGCACAGGCACCTCGCAGGAGTACTCCTCCTCCCATCCCGAACCAATCGGTCTTCCCCAAAGATACCAGCCACAGATCATCCTGGGTACAATAAACTCCAGCGGAGAAAGACCGCACCACTTAGGAGACAGAATCGACCTACCCTCAGTGATATACTATCCCACTGACCATAGTGAATCTCACATTCCCACAGACCCAACACACATCTTAACCAGCATTTTCCATCTACAGAGATGAGGGTTTCCATCTTCATCTCCCGCCGAAACTGTTCCCAGTGATCGTGGCAATGCAGACACCACCCACCGGTCGGGCGCTGAGACCGAACTGCTACGGCCCAGGAACAAAAGCTTAAAGACCTCCTGCTCAATTCGCCTCTGTATCCGCTCCTCCGGGCACCCCAATCCGGCGGTACTTGATTCCTCGATTAATCTGTTCCGAGGACAAGGGGACCACATGCCTACGACGGACAAAGAGATCTTTCTCAAGTTCAGGGATATATACTATGTGGAGCTGCGCACCCGCCGGAATCGACTACTCTCCCTGAAAAGTTTAAAATACATCACCATCATCGATGTACGTACATAAAACCCTAACCCATACTCTCCTACTTCGCGATAGTATACAGACGTCGAGAACCTTCTGACCACAAACTTAGATGTCACCTCCCGTGGGTACCTCCTATACGCATTTCGTAAGCCACACAAGATTACCACCTCGAGCATGTGGGTCGACTCGATGTTTGAACTGGACAACAACGCGCCTCGGCGGTTGGGACTAGAGTTTGTCCAGGCGTGGTATCGTAAAAGAATTGTGCTACTGGTTATGATACCGTGGGGGGCAGCGTGTTGCTGACAGTGGTGTGGAGTATGTTTATGGGAGATGTAGCGACTAGGGTAGCGCTCGGGAGTTACATGTTGACAGCGAGTGCAAGTGAGTGTGATGAGTGTGACGTACTCTGGTGAATGGTGCTGATAGGATGAATAGGTGGGTTGGCGTTGTTAGCGATTATGAGCACGCTAGATGGATAGAGGTTCTGGTGGTAGGTATGTTTGATAGGAGGATCCCTGGCTGCAATGCCTTTGTATGGAGGGCTGTGTAGGTGTAGTTCGTATTCTTATTGTTTTGAAAGATGGGCGAGCCCGTGGTCTAATATATGACATGAGAGAGCTCCCTTCCTTTCTACTAGCTTTCAGCGGCGCTTGGCCTTACACGCCCCAATAGGCTGAGGGCGTGGATTGAGATAGCTAGGGGGAGGCTATGTTTCAGGTTATGAATTGTAGTCAACCTTACGAACGTGAGGGGTTACAAGATGCAACATATATCATTCTCTTCTTGCTCAATTCGGCCCCACTCAAAGGGAATATATCTTCTAGCACACTCAGACCACAGTTCAATTCACCGTGATGTTTTCACTCCTTGAGCTTTAATTTCTTCGATTAGAATAAGGCTTAGCCCCCAACTCAGATGGGCCTTTCGACCCCAGGTACCTCCATCCATAACCACATATTTCACGAATAGACCCATTGACCTGCCTGTGGCTAACCGAATATTAATTAAAAGGAGCCTTGAACCACCCCTTCTCACAGCTGCTTGCATCACCCTGAGCTACCCCCCAGCTCATGTAACTCGGCTCTCCTGGATTCCCCACTTTATGGACCCTTATTTTCCCCTCCTCCCCAGTGATTAACATTTATCTTGTGAGTGTGTAGACTACCACACAGGGTTAGGGTTCCCGCTCTTGGTCACTTAGGTTACTATACCACTACAGCCTATGCCAAGAATTTCGCCCTGAACGACATGAAAGTAGGAAAGGATCGAGGATTACGGACGCGATATCAATCTTTTCCCGGTATTATCTTACTAGAATCATCTTACCATGCATAAAGGAGAATTAATACTGGAAAAGGAAATATTGACTGGCCGAAGCAGCGGTTGTCAGGATAGGCATGATATTACGCTCGGATTAGCGCCAGCATACCAATAGAACTGGAAATGAAATTTTATCTGTTTACCCCTGGCCTTGCTTCAGCATCTGTGCGATGCAGTTTTGTTGCAATTTCCACTACTAAGGATTATTACAACAGCAAGAGCTAAAATATCTTCTTATTCAGCAATGAAACCATCGTCTTTCACATGCAGTTCAAAGTGAAGACACTAATTTCAACTCTCAGACTCCCCCACATCTCACTGATTCTACACCATCCTCGGCAAACCCAACGAACGCACTCCACCCTGCAAAACCTTCCTACCATCAAGCTTGTTCCAGCCTTGTTTCGTTCCTCCGAGAAGGTACGTGACAACGGTGGAACAAAAAAGAAGCACGATGATTGCCAATGGCTTGAGGAGAAGAAAGGGAAGAGGAGGAGGAAGAACAGAGCGGTTATATGCTGTGTGCGAGCGGCGAAAAGCTCAGTGCCAAGGAAAGACCAGCGGCGAAATTACGCACTAAGGGATGGAGGTAAGCGGCGAAGAACTAGGGCTAATCAACGGCCTATGTGCAGGGCGGCGAAAACACCTTAAGGCTAATCCCAGAATGTGCTAGGTTGAGCCCAGGCTTGGCGGAGTGCATCCCATGCAAGCAATCGACTCATAATCTATGACCGAGTGCTATCGTGTGATCCGAGTGATAGCTCATGTTGGCGGCGAATTGCCGCGCGCATCCCGATTAACGAAAAGGGAATAATATGCCGCCGTAAGTACTCATATTCATGTCAATCCTAACCAAGTTCACACCCCTTTGACCTGTTGCAACGAACTACACACTCCCGCATCCCAGCACAGCCCCACCCCACGTGACCACAGCAGGAGTCATTTTGAGTTCCAACGAGCGATGGCAGCGGGCTCACGTTCATAATGAAGTGATGGTCTAGCCGTGTATTCGAATAGGGATATTTCACTGCTGAGCAGAGGTTTAGTCCGTGTTTGTAAATAAGAGCATTATGGTACATGGCATGATGAGGAACAGCCGTGGGGGAAATTGAAACGCTAATCCGAGCGGGCTTGTCCAAATCTCGTTCAAACAAAGATTGGAATAAAATATGCCACATTTAGATAGGCACCTATATATACGTATGGTATACCCTTAACCGCCGATCCAACGCATCCTTATCATCTTCACCACACGCACGAAATGGTAGATAAAAGAAAAAAACGAATTCATTTATTTGTAGCCGATGTCTAGCTTCATCTGTAAAGAGACCCACAGGTTCCTTTTCATCCCGCAACCTTACCACTCCCGCCATATCTACGTACCCAATATACCACCCCTTCACCACATCCGGCTCCGCCGTTTTCCGGAGTGGGCCTTCACCATACCTGACTCCAGGCTCAAGCACCACCACGTACGTAAAAGTCAAAAACGCTGGCAAAAGCGCCCAATCCCGTCAATCCTGAATTGATGACTGTTGCATTCCCCACGCTGAACTAGTGGCAAGAATCGAAAAAAGCGAGGGGAAAAAAGAAGAAGAAAAAGAAAAATAAACTTGACAATCTCCATCGTATCATATTGATGCATCTACGGACGAACTGGCTGGGTTATCTATAGTGCCATCCTCGCGCGCCCTACGACACACCCACCCATCCGTCATTCCGCCACATCAGACCCCTCATTATCATCATTGGGGCTCTCCTCCCTCTTCCTCTTCCCCGTCCTTCCCTCACCGTCGCTCTCCTCATCCCCAAAGGCCACCCCATAAACTAATGCAAAGTCCCTCAATGTGGGCGTGCCCCCCTCTACGGCCGCCAGCGCCTTTTTCACTGCGCCCCTCATCCAATTGAACCTCGCGATCAGCTCGTACGGTACCGTGAAGCGCTGGCCTCCAACCATGAGGATGCTGGTACCAGGGCCTGGGGTTTGTTGTTAGTTGGGTATGGGGAAGAGGGGAACAGCTTTGGGGGGGACCACCGGTGTGCTGTTCCGTGTACCTTCTCGATGTGGCCTTGATACGGTTTGCGGCGAGCGTGGCACGTGCCTCGGCGGCCTCGGCGCGCTGGGTAAGCCTCTGAACCTCGGCGGCGTGGGCGCGCTGCTGTTGTCGGAGGTGTTCGGCCAGAACTACGGGGTTGGAGGAGGTGGGGAAGGGGGCTGGTACGAGTGGATGAGCCGAGGTTGGGGGAGGTAGAGGCGCATTGGCGGCAACGGTGGTGATGTCGCCGATAGTTGGGGTCGTGGTTGCTGGTAACGACATTGTAAGAGGATGTAGTTTTATGGACCTTTAGAAGTGTTTAGCCAACTGAAGGGAAGGGCGCGCTGTTCTCTTATGTCTTTCTTTCTTTTTTTTTCTTTTTTTTATGAGGTGCGCTCCTATGGGACCGCTCCCGCTCAAATTAAGAATTAAACAAAAAAAAAAAAAGACCGCTCCCGATCCCGCTAGCACTTAACCCTAGCACTTATTACGTACGCCTTGGTGGCTCGTAGTAGAAAGCCAAAAGGAATCCATGCACCACTCTTGCACCGCCGGGAACACCAGCTTCATCTTATCTCATCTAGCCCCTTCCTAACCCTTCTTTTCGCCGGGCGAATGATCCCCCCGTTCTCAACCTTTCTGTGCGGAGTCCCCTAGTCCATATGGAAAGATCTACGTTTCAGTAATATTAACACACGTACTGCCACTGCAGGTAAATCATTTATCGTATACCTCGTTGAAGCGTCAGTCCGTTGATCAATTGAATATTGGATACTTCCATAGCTAGCCGATGATACATTTTCCGTCGCGATTTTGATTCCAGTCTTGTCATGCTTTTTTGTCGTTCTAGACTACATTTATGGCCGGGGAATTTACGGGGAATTTCCTTCGGCAGTAGAAATATAAATACGAGGCAGTGATTATTGGGTATCGGACGTGGCGCCTATGGTTTATGGTGTTGCTGGTGGTACTGCGTTGTCGTTCGGCTGTTTTAATTTGGGATGCTGCGAGTGGGGATGGTTGGTAGGGTAGGGATCGGAAGGGGATAACAAACATTAGTTTACAGGGCAAAATTGATGAATGGAAATGAATTGTTTGCGACATCCATCTTATAGAAATCGTCAACCACAAGCAAATTACTAAGCAATTATCATTATGTTGTGCATGTAACCATAATTCCCATTACGATGGTACCTCTTCAACACATCATCATTGGCGCTTCCCACCCCATCACCGTTCGTCAATGATGTAATCAATCAATCAACCCGTCCCCGTCCGAATTCTTCCCCCATGAATAACCACAATCTCACCATGTAGCCACGCCACCTGCTCGCCCGTAAGACGTAGCTGGTCCGCGTCTCTCGCCTCGGCCCAGTGGACGCGTGCAACACGGAGCGTCTCAGCGAGTCCCGCACCGGTGGTGTTCGGGAGTTCGTAGTCTATTCCGTGAAGGCGGAAAACGATGGTCCGAGCGCCTGTTGGGGTGTGGTGTTAGTGTGGGGGTTTTGATGGAGGGAGAATGGAGGGCGGAGGATGAAGAATGGGAGATGGTTACTTACCGACGCTTGTCAAAATTGTATGATCTGGAGGGCTAGTGGCGGCAGGCTTTAGGGCGGCTTTGATACGCTTCTCGGCGGCCTTTGCGCGCTTCCCGGCGGCCTTGATACCCTTCTCCGCGGCCCTAATTCGCTTCTCCGCGCGCTTGAGGCGGCGGGTGAGTCTCAGAATCTCAGCATGGTGGGCGCAATGGCCATGGGCTGCGGTACTATCAGGCGGCGCATGGGTAGGTGGGGTGCGGTATCGCTGGAGGCGCGGGTCAGGGGAGAGATCTCCTCAGTGGTAGCTGCGGCGACGTCCAGGGCGGGCGTGAACATATCTCCTGGAGGTGTTGTGACAGGTAGCGACATTCTGCAGGAACTGAATGGAGGGATCTTTAAGTCTGAGGTTGTATGGTATGTGTGTATTATCAGAGGGAGCGCAACGGTGGACTTCGCTTTATGTCTTTCTTTTTTCTTTTTAGGCGTGTGCTTTCTATGGGACCGCGCCCGGCCAAATACTCATAGGGCTCTGGGCTTGGCTGCAGCGGGGACGGTCCGAGACGGGGGTGGGGTGTTATGCCATAGTATAACAAAGGAAAACATAGATTACCTGCAGGTAATAAAAGCTAACCCACCGTTGACCCCAGTGGTAACTTGTACGTACCTCCTAATTGATAAACCCCCGCATAAATAGTAACCGAGATTGTGAGATAGATGGCGTGTCATCGCACATCAAAAATAATAGACTTCAGGCCGCACCATCAAATCTGGTTACATAGTAGCGTGCAGCGCAGTAGTATCGATTACACCATTGCTTACTTTAGGTCTCGTGGCTTTTTATAAGAAGGCATCCATGGCTACCACCTTCTTTCTATGACATCGAGGACATGTCAAGTGGACCATACTGTCGACAGTATCGAGAACAATTAATAACGTTGCTAGAAAGAGGAGCTGACGGCGCCGCAAGAGGCCGGGGGGGATGACCACCTGGGAAAATGTGGTTCACGGAGTGCATGAGCGCGAGGCACATCAGTGGTAGGCATCTATATAAGCAAGGTCTCTCACCACGAACATGGGCAGATAAATGAACAAGACCGAATCGGACCCGGATACATTTCCCGACAAGTTCGCGCGCTAGCGAACGATCTAAGCCCTTTCCTGCCTTTCGTTATGTGGTGTGGATAACGCACCGATTGACGCATGCGTTTGAACACCGGTAGAAAATCATACGGAAGAGTTCAGCTAAACGGAGGTGTGTCGATCAATGAATTAAAAAGAAAAGGATGTGCGTCATGAGATATCACTCGTTTGTGTGCAGTCACCGGTTTGTTTTTCTTTTTTGTTTAATTCATTAATTTACAGTCACCGCTTCTGATATTCGTGAAAATACGAAAATAGGACCAGTTCCAGCAATGCACAGTAAGCCTTATGCCACTCCATCGCATTCCTGGCTGCTACAACACAAGGCAGTATTCTAGCCCTAGTACGATAATTTCGCCTCCAATGCCCTTAGCCCGCTTGATGCTTTCGCCGCCCAGGCACCTAGCCCTAGCCCTACCATATTTTAGCCGCCCTTCCTTGGCGCCGCTTTTTTACCACTCCTCCATAAAGAAGTGAGTATAAATACCCACCTCTCACTCCTTCACCTCCTTCCTTTCTCCTCAATCATGGTGCTCCCGGATTGTTCCACCGTTGCCTCGAACCTTCTCAGGCACGGGGCAAGGGTGGAACAGGCTAGAGAAAGTATTTAGGAGAAGTGAAGTAATTGATCGTGTTAATTGTTCTAGATAAGGGGGAATGCCCCGTATTTATACTAATGAAAGGTAGTACAAAAGAAATATGTGATGAGTCATGGACGTGTGAGTAATGGAATGACTAATAAGAAAGTGAGTCATGCACCGATGACAAATACTGTAATGAAATGATGAAAATCTTCCAGAACTATGAAACGTGCCGAGGGCCCTATTTCAAGACTTCCCCTCGTGAGCCACAGTGAATAGTAGAAGAAAATAAAACATGTTTGCTTTTATCCAATCCCTTTGTAAGTAAATCCGCCACGTTCTCGTTCGTAGAAATATATTCCAGTTCAAATAATTCATACTCAAACCGTTCCCGAACAAAGTGAAAATGTACGTCAATGTGTTTAGAACTTTTATGAAAGACAGGATTTTTAGCCAAAGAGAGAGAGCTGTTGTTGTCGCCTCGAAGAATAAAAGAGAGATTCGGTTTTTGTTCCAACTCGTGGATTGCATTCCTTAACCAGATCAGTTGTCGACTGGTGTCCGAGAGGGCCATGTATTCCGCTTCTGTTGTGGAAGTGGTGACAGATCGTTGCTTATAAGAGCGCCAGGAGATGAGAGCTTCCCCTAGCATAAAGCAATAGCCGGTGAATGAGCGGCGGTCGTCGACGTCGGAGGTATAGCTTGCGTCGCTGTAGCCGATAAGTGAAGTTGTTCGCGTTTTGGCGTAAAAGAGTGACCAATCTAGGGTACCTTTGAGGTAACGGAGGACGCGATGGACTGCAGCTAGATGGACCTTGGTGGGACAGGAGGAAAATTGCGAGAGCATGGTGACGGTGTAGGCTAGGTCGGGTCTAGTGCCGATTACTGCATACATGAGTGAACCGATTATCGACTGATAGATTGTTGGATCGTCGATTTTCTCAGCTTCCGTTCCTTTTTGGAGGTGGACGTTGTTGTCGATAGGTGTTGCCACAGGTCTGGATTCGTTGAAACTGTACTTGATAAGTACACGCTTGAGATAGGCTTCCTGTGATAGGATGATGCCAGTCTTAGTGTGGATCAAGTGGATTCCGAGTGCCCAGTTGGCTGTGCCAGTTTCCGTCATTTCGAATTCAGAGTGGAGGAGGAGGCTGACGCGGTTTTTTCGTTCAACGGACCAGTAAAAGATGAGGACATCGTCCACGTATATTGCGATGACAACTTCCCCTGTTTTGTGCATGAAGACACAAGGGTCGAAGTCTGCTTTTCTGAATCCTATTTTGATTAGCGCTTTTGAGAGGCGGGCATACCATTCCCTTGATGATTGTTTGAGGCCATAGATGCATTTGATTAGTTTGCATGCTTTGCCGGGAGTAGGGTATCCTGGAGGAGATTTCATGTAGATTTCTTCCTTGAGTTCGCCGTACAGAAATGCACTTGTGACGTCCATTTGGTCGCATTGGCCACCGGTTTGAAGGCAGCGAGCGAGGAGTAATCTGATGGATTCGTATCGGGTGACGGGGGCGTAAGTTTGATCGAAATCTTGACCAGGGACCTGTGAGAATCCTTTTGCGACTAGTCGGGCTTTGTACCGTATGGGGTTGCCGTCGGGCCCGAGTTTGATTTTGTATACCCATTTGCAGTCGACCAATTTGCGGTGATCCGGTGTGTTGACCAGATTCCATGTGTTATTCCTTGCGAGTGAGTCGAGTTCAACTTTCATAGCATTCTGCCATTTTTCGGAGTCAGGACTGTTGATCGCTTGGTGGTAGTTCGTTGGTTCTGTTAGGGTAGTGTCCTGCTGAATGTTGTGTCCGTATCTGACCGGAGCCTTTCGTTCCCGTGCTAGGTTACGTCTTGGTTGATCAGTATCTGTTTCAATAACATCATGCGGGGTACGTTCAGTGGCGGGCCTCGTATAGCCGGCCCCCACTATACTTGCGTGGTCTTCCGAATCAGTGTCGGAGAAATGTTCCATGGTTTCACGCATTATTTGTTGGTTGATCATGTCGTCGTCACTTGGGTCGTCGTCGTATGTTCTATGTTGTTTTGGTGTTGACGGACGTGAAGATGGTTCTTGTTTGATCTCGATTTGTTTTGGCTTAGGGGGTGTGTCGGTTTTTGTTTTGACTTCGATTTCTTCCCCTACGGATGTACCTTTAAACCTAAAATGACGAGAGAGAACTACTTTCCTTTGTGATGGTATGTAGACGCGACAGATTTTTTCAGAATCTCCGTATCCGCAGAATTGTCCCGTTATAGCCCTTGCATCCAGTTTTGTTCCAGCTGGTCGTGCTTCGACGGGTATGTGTATGAACATGGTTTCACCGAAGGATCGGAGGTGCCCAATAAAGGGTTTCTTGCCGGTAGGTGCTTCGTATGGTGTCATATATGGGAGTGATTTGTGCGGGAGGCGGTTCTTTACGTGTACCATGGTGTTGATCGCTTCTGTCCATAGATTTTTTGGGAGGTTGTGGTCGAGCAAGGCGGATCGTGCCATTGTTGCTATAGTCCTGTTAAAGCGTTCTAATGTTCCATTTGACTCGTGAGAGTAAGGTACAGTGAATTCATGCTTTATGCCTTTGGAGGCAAAAAATTGTTGAAGGTCATTGGAGATGTACTCGCCACCATTGTCGCTTCGAAACCGTTTAACCGTTTTGTCCAATAGATTTTCCATGTAGGTGATGTATCGTTCCGTGGCAGCTGCTGCGTCTGACTTCTTTTTAAGGAAGTAGAGGTGAGCGTACCTGGAGTAATCGTCGATGAAAGTGATGTAGTAACTGAAACCACCCAGAGAAGGAGTCGAGAATTTGCCGCTCAGATCTGAGTGGATTAGTTCCAGTGGTTGTTTGGATTGTGGTTCGGTGAGGGGAGCGAGGTGAGACTTGGTTGATTTAGCGAGTTCACAAGTGTTGCATGTTTCCATGTGACCAGATGTGGGGAGAGACTTGGGGTCGGCAACCATGGTGCGAAGCCGTGAGAGCGAGGAAGCGGGGAGATGTCCGAGCCGTTGGTGCCAGTCATAGAAGCTGGTGGCGGCAGAGAGGTGTGCACAGGGTTCCTTGATTTCAAAAATGTAGAGACCAGTACTATTTGCGTTAGCGATCCCAATGATTTCCTTGCTATTCGGTTTGTAGATGGTAAAGCCGTATTCCGTCCCAGTTGTAGTGAATCCCTTTATAGCGATGCAAGACCAAGACATCAGGTTGGTGTTGCCTAATTCGGGGATTAAGAATACGTTCTGCAGAGTTATCAGGCCATGTGATCCGTTGATGGTGACGTTGCCTATTCCGATTATCTGGAGCTTGCGACCTCCTCCAACAGTAACTGTTCCAGTGTGGGGAGTGGGGTCGGTAACCAGCGTTCCGGTCATATGGTTGGTTGCACCAGGGTCGAAGATCCATGCCTTGTTATCGGTGGTGGAAGGTCCTGCAATAAAGCCAAAGTAGTCTTCCATTGTAATGTCCGAGGTGTCATCTGAGAAGTTGGTTAGGTCGAAGTCAACCGGCATTGTGAATACATCGGTTTCTTCGAGTGCGGGAAGGCCAGAAAGATCAGGGATCCAAGAGAGGTTGAGTTTTGTGTGAAATGCAGTACCGGACGCGACGTTGAGGTTGCCAGATGCAGCGGACTTCTCCTTGTCTCTGA